GTCGTCATCGTAATCGCATGGCACACCCTGGTACATAGCAAGTTCGTTGTGCGAGCTTACTGTTGTACCACTTGAACTCGTCGAAGACTGGGCACGTTTCCCTTTCTTTGCAAGAAGCCCACCGACTATGCCGGCAAAACCTTTTTTTGATTTCGGGGGCGGAGGTGGTGCTGTTTCTTCTTGTACAGTACCGTATAACTCTTGATATTCCTTAAACAAATCCTCAAAAAGAGTTATAGCATTATCTCTTTCATTTTTCCATTCTACTAAATAGCTGTAGTAATAAATATTTTTATCTAAAAAACAACTGTAGTAATACTCAATTAGAATTTTAAAATTTTCAATCTTAAATCGTGGATCACAAATAATACCTATTTTATAAATATCAGGAATGTACAAATAATAAGTACATCATTTATCTCTCATAGGAGAGACATAAGGGTACAAATCTAGATCAGCCATACTTTCACGAAAACATGTTGCGATTGTAATGCACTCTTTAAAAAATGTATTTGTAGTTGGTTGGTAAACATGGGAAAAAGTAAGAGTTGCGTTATTAAAAACTTCTAATACGGCATTCAATTTTTCAACAATAACAAATTCAAAAGGATTAATGATTATACGAAATTCATCCCTAAAAAATTCAGCAAGTTCCTCTTTATATCTTAGGATCTGTGCAATCAATTTGTAAGTACTATTCCATCTAATGTTGATATCTCTGGCAAAACTTATTTCTTTTTTACCCTTAGACTTACAGAACATCTTCCAGGATCTCGAAATAAGACGAGCCCCCCAAATTTTTTTAATTCCTTCTTTAATATTTATCAAAACTCCGCCCATAGCTTGTAGTCCCTGTTGAACACATAAATTTAAAACATGACAGGCACACCGTTGATGCAGAAATCTACCCATAGTCGTAGACGGTGGGCAAATTTCTCTAAGTCTAGGAATAGCAGCAGTATTATTAGTAGCATTATCAAAACCAAATGAAAAAACTTTTTCAGATAAGTTATATTCCCGCAGAATACTCTGAAGCAATAG